CTCGAACTCACAGAGATCCGCCTGCCTCTGCCTCCCGAGTGCTGGGATTAAAGGCGTGCGCCACCAACGCCCGGCCGGTCTTTTGGTTTTTATCACACTAATAGAAATGGATCTGAAACAGGTTTTTGCCACCACAGGTCTGGGACGGCCCTGTGATGGCAAACACATTTTAATGACACTCACTTTACTCTGAATGACTCAGTAATGAGAATCTATCCTATGTGTCTTAGTTAGGATTTCTATTGCTGTGAAGAGACACCATGACCACAGCAACTTTTATAAGAAAAACATTTAACTGAGGTGGCTCACTTACAGTTTCAGAGGTTCAGTCCATTATCATCATGGCAGGACATGGCAGTGTACAAGCAGGAGTAGCTGAGTCGTACATCTTGCAGGCAACAGGAAATGGACTTGAAACAGTGGGTGATATCCTGAGCATAGGAAACCTCAAAGCCCACCTACACAGTGACAAACTTCCTCTAACAAGGCCATATCCACTCCAGCAAAGCCACACCTCCTAATAGTGCCACTCACTATGAGATTATGAGGTCAGTTACATTCAAACTACCACACCAAGTCTTCATTTTATGGTCTCTTCTCTGTGGCATCGTTCCACCCCTCTGCTTCCAGGCTGAGCCCCTTGCTGACTTTGACAGTTTTCAAGAAGCAAACCCTCTTGTGTCTCTGTATTGCTACCTTACATGTGCCCTTACCCCAGTCCCAGCTTCTCCCGCTAAGCCTGTCATTCTCTGAGGCCTTGTTTTATAGCCACTGACTCTGAAAGGCATGACCTAAGTCCTCTGGATGTCTCACCTGTATTCCTCTAGGTCTGGATTCTGCCTTGGGCCAGATCAAGGGCTTGAACTATGAACTATAGGTCTCCATAGTCCAATGCCTAAACCAGGGGGTGCTCTTGCTTCAGCTTGAATGACAAGTGGGGCCACCCTCTAGGCCTTTCATTCAACAAATTCCTGTTTGCTGCCTGATGAGGATACCCAGCTTTTCCCCTGTAAGCCTTTCCTGTCTCCATCTCTGCTTCAGAGCCCTTATTCTCAGATCCTTCATGCTCGGTACTTGGTGATCTGCTAGGCACTGTCATCTGCCGAGACCGAAGGACTCACTGGTGTGATATACAGCTCATCAGGCTGCCTTTGAGTCCCCAACCAGGAGTGGGGAGTGATGGGGGGAAGACAGCATAGACTCAAGTGCATCACCAAATACAGGCTCTGGGCACAGACTGCATGTGGTCTGCAGGCTACTAAAGAAAAAGAGCTCACCCACCACCTGACCTGATGACCTGTGGGCAGTAAATGATTACTGCCACCTGCTGCAGGAAATCAGCCCCATCTCCAGGTGCCTTGGAACATCTGTTCTTCCTCATGTCTCTGAGGTCTGTTCCCTGACCAGATTCTTACCAGTTGCTCAGAAAGTGCACAGCACACAGGTTCCTTGCTGACTGGGAGACCTCAAACTACAGAAAAACAACCCTGGATTCAGAGTCTCAAAACCACATAAGTACCCCACTAGCTCAGTGACCTCACACCACAGAGGTACCTTGCTGGCTGGGGGACCTCACACTAAGGAAAAACACCCCTGCATCTAGAATCTTAAAACCACACAGGTAGCTCAGAAATATTACACTACAGAGGTACACTGGCTTAGAGCCCTCATACTATACAGAGGTGTCCCATTAACTCAGTGACATCGTACCATAGGTACACTGACAGGCTCAGAGACCTCACACTACAGAGGTTGAGACCAGAGGGAGGACAAGGAAAATGTTACCCTGCAAGTAGGACTATGGCCTAGTGCCCCAGCTCTCACCCAAACCAGGGCCATTTTGAGATTACAGGGCTTTACAAGAGGCATCCACAACAGATCTAAAGATAACAGACAAAACTTTCACAGCAGAAGCTGAGCAATAAAGGGTACCTAGCAGATCAAGCTGTCTGCCATCTGAATTTCTTCTTAGTGTCAGGTTCTGCTCCTTACAAGGACAATGGCTTATGTGTGTCTCACGGCAGCCTGGTCTACTGCAGAACAGCTGTTACAGAGTTCGTTTGTTTGTTTGTTTGTTTTGTTGTTTTTTCAAGACAGGGTCTCACTGTGTAGACATGGCTGTTCTGGAACTCACTCTGTAGACCAGACTGGCCTTGAACTCACAGAGACCTGCCTGACTCTGCCTATCAAGTGCTGAGATAAAAGGAGTGCATCACCACACCTGGCTGTTACAGAGTTCTTATACAAGTGCTTCCTCCAGGAGCCTTGAGTAATCTCTGTCAATCACTTATAGGACATTTATCTGTCAACACTGCCAAGAACGGCACCTATTATCCTGGGTGTAGTGGCACACACCTTTAATCCCAGCACTCAGGCAAGTGTATACCTCTGTGAGTTCCAGGACAGCCTGATTCACATAGTAAGTTCCAGGACAGCCAATGCTATGTAGAGAGACCCTGTCTCACAAAATCAAAAAGAAAAGAAAGGTTTCTGTTAATGCTCCAAAATCAGCTAAATATAAAACAAGCTCCTACCCAACTGACCTACTTGAGCTGTTCTGTAAACATTTCAAAAAATAGTAATTTGGTTACTTTGAAAAATTATTTGGGGGCCGGGCGTTGGTGGAGCACGCCTTTAATCCCAGCACTTGGGAGGCAGAGGCAGGCGGATCTCTGTGAGTTCGAGGCCAGCCTGGTCTACAAGAGCTAGTTCCAGGACAGCCTCCAAAGCCATAGAGAAACCCTGTCTCGAAAAACCAAAAAAAAAAAAAAAATTATTTGGATTTTCCCTTTTCTGAAAACTATTTGTTAGTGAGCCTATAGGTCTGTTTCATAAGAGAATGACCCACAATAATCATGCTTTTGATTTTGAAGGAGTAAGTTTATTTTTTTCTTTTTTTAGGAGTAAGTTTATTAAGTATATAGCAATAAGGAATGAAAAAATAAAACAGAAAAAATACAGTGGATATCAGATTAGATACAATATCCAGCAGAAACTGACCGTAGAAGTTCCTACAACCAAAACAGTCAGAGTGTGTGTGTAGGAGAAGAAGGTCCAGCAGAATGTTCTGGTGAGACTTGTAATTAGCCATCCGCCACAGGCATTTTTATGTTTGTGTCAAAGAATAAACAGTAGCAGAGTCTTACTTTTGGAAGATGCCTGGAGATGATATATCTCCCAGCTGTGTTCAAGGCCGTGCAGTTTTTATTCTAACAAGCTGTTTTCCTGTTCTCATGGAATCTTCACTCTTGGGCTAGTTTCTATTTTCCTTTATATTTCTCACCGGCCTGGGTAGGCAAGGGGTCTTTGAGGACACGCTACCATAAACATGCTTGGATCTGTAATGGGATGGGGGCAACCCAGCCTCCAGAACCAACTTCTCAATGAGGTAAACAGCACCAAACAACTCACAAATTAATTATTATGTACTTTTTTACAGTTTACTAATATATATTACAAATTTTGAGAGTTGAGAAAAGTACTGGTTTTTCTCTTAAGACATGGTTCAGGAATCCAGCAGCTATTTCAGGTTGTCAAGGTTTTGGCTCCACTTACCAGGATTATGATATGATTCCTCAGAAATCGAGAAAAATAAATGGATAAGTGAGAGAGAGAAAAAGAATCCTAACCAGCTAATCCCAGACCTGAAGAAGGTCCCTGCCATGCTCATCCAAGGGTTCACAGCCCTGCTTCTGGGACATGCACTTCCTCAGGTCCCATGTGCCAGACATTCTCTGTGTTGGTGAGAAGACAATACCACAGACACAGAAGCAAGCTCACCACTGTGATTTCATTCAGAATTATTCTAAAGCACTCATGACTAGATAATGCACCCATTAAGTTGCCTATGTGGGTCTCTGCTCAAGTCCAAGGATAAAACAAATGCATGGGAAAATGGAGAATTCGAGTCCCTCTGCAACTGCCACCTTTGGTAGGAGCAAACCACATTGACCATGTTCCTTGCTGAGGACATACTCTCTTCTCTGTAAAGCAGGGAAAGAACCTTTGTGGTAGTGTACACCTTTAATCCCAGGGACCAGAGGGAGGCAGAGCTGAGTTTGAGAACAGCTGGGGCTTTACAAGAAACCCTGTCTCATGGGGGGTGGGGGAGGCTTGAGAGAGTCTGGATTCTGACACATGACCACTCTGGGTAGCAGCCCTGACCTTTGGGAGTGTGCTCTCATTTGTCTTTTAAAGAGCAATTTCTCGCCCCAGATGGTCCATGGAGAGTGTCCCAGTGCTAAGATCCAGACAGACGTCCTAATGCTCAGCTTTCTTCCCCAGTTCTGTTTGTTCCTTAAAGTATTGCCCAGGAAGTGCCTTTAGTGGGAAACCATGACAACAACTCTTTGTTTTAGAAAAGGGACAGTCCTATGTTGCTACTCTAGCATCTGAGGTAGCGGGGGCATTGGGATACCAACAGAGACACTTAATTAAAAAGAACACAAGAGAAGAAAAGAGACAGGAAAGACAGAGCAGAAGCAGTGAACACAGACAGCCAACCCCAGCATAGACACATCACAAGGGGCTTGCTCCCTGTAAAGGAAGGAATTCCTGTAGGTTAAGAGGTCTACATATGAATGATTCTGCCTGTAGCTGGGAGCTAGGGAGCCTGGTCAATAGCCTTGCCAGCTCCAAATACCAAGACTAGCCATGGCAACATTGGAGAGAATTGTGGGGATCTCACTAACCTCCCATAACAAGGAGACTGGGGAGTGGTTATTAAGTGAACTACTAAGGGCACATGGCGATGAACTTTGTCCTGTATCAGTTTTCAGAGACATCATCCAGCTATGACAAGCACCTGCACGTAGTTTTTAGAAATGAAACCAGGCTGCTGGTGGCACAAATCTATAATTCCAGCACCTAGGAGGCTAAGCCAGAAGGATGGCCAAATCAAGGCTAGCCTGCATTACATCGCAAGACTCTGTCCCAAACCAAATTAGCTGACAGAGTCCAACAGTTCTTAACCTGTGTCTTTTCTTTGCCTTTGCCTTCAGGTTCATATTGGCCAACTGTATTCGACTGACAAGCTCATCATTGAGAATCAAGAGAAGCCCAGGACATAGGAGCTCAGTACTAGGAAACAGCCTCCAGCAACAGAACTGACCACCTTCAGCATCCATTCTCTATGGTGTGGAACCTCCCAGTGGTGACTGAACAGAGCCTCTTGCTCTTCCTGCCTTGTAGGAGCTGATAAACTGGGTCACATTTGCATTCTTTCACAGCCATAATGTGAAGAAATGACTGTGCATCCTCAATCCAAGTTTTAGAATGAAGAGCTGGAGGTCACTCAGAATAATGCCATGTGTTATTGTGTCTCCTCTCCATCCCACCCATCTTACAGATCACCCATGTATAGAGCTTTTGCAGAAGTTGTGTCTTAATCCTTAAAAATAAACAGAATTATCTCCCTATCCTTTTGTACCAAATAAACCTATTACATTGAACGTGCATTTATTTCCTGACAAGACAGGAACTGTAGAAGTGGAAACACAAAAGGAAGATTCCACCATAGACTGAAGATTGCCTTTGTGAAGGCTAAGTAGACTCTGGATTCATGTCAGAGTTGGGACGGGCGTGTAAGTAGAGCAGGTACTACAGTAGCTAGACAGTGTATCACTAAATCTTGTAGCATCCATGTGAATTGAACACAAGCAGTCTGTCACCCTACCTTAAGTCATGGAAGTGGGGTTAGGCATGTGAATCCATCTACAGTAAAGTGCTGGGCACACCAGCATGGTAACACTGGAGCTGAAGGAACAGACAGGCAAATCCTCAGAGCTCACTGGCCAGCTAGTCTAGCCAAATTGATCGGCTTCAGATTCAGTAAGAGACCCTACGTCAAGCATTAAGGTGAAGAGTAATTGAGGAAGACACCCAGAGACATCGACCCCTGGCCTCCATATGTATTCACACATACATATGTACCCACATGAACATAGATACATGCATGCACCACACATACATAAAGTCATGAGTGAGCCAGGTGTTGGCTACCTAAAAATTCTAAGTGAGCACAGACTGCATAGATCCTGTCACAAGTGTTCACCCTGGTGTCTGCAGTATAAATTGTGTCATGGTGATGTGCACAGAAATTTCACTTTAATTATTTTTAAACTAATGTGCAAAGTAAAGGTTTTAGTGTTCTATTGCTGTGAAGAGACACCATCATCACAACAACTTTTTTTTAGTTTTTTTGTTTTGTTTTGTTTTCCAAAGACAGTTTTTCTTTGTGTAGCCCTGGCTGTCCTGAAATTCATTCTGTAAATCAGGCTGGCCTTCTGAGTGCTAGGATTAAAGACATGCTCCAATGCCTCCAGGCTACACAGCGATTCTTGACTAGGAAAGCTTTTAAATGGGACTTGCTTACAGTTTCGGAGGTATAGTCCATTGTTATTATGGTGGGGAGCTTGGTGCTGGAGAAGTAATTGAGAATTCTACATCTGGATCCGCAGGTAACAGAAGAGAGAGATACTGATACTGGCTTGGGCATTTGAAACCCCAAAGCACACCCCCAGTGACACACTTCCTCCAACAAGGTCCCGCCTAACCCTCTGAAGTAGTGCCACTTCCTGATGATCTAATTCAAATATATATGGACCTATGGGGGCCATTCTTACACAGACCACCACAGGTTTCATTATGGAATTTTCATGTGTCGTACTTTGTTGTACAACTCTTGATCTCAGATTTAAGTCTTGTACACTTATAAGAGTAGTGAAGATCTCCACTTTGATACCACTGGTTCCACTCCTGGTAGCTGAGGTAGTCAGGAAGCAGGGCATTCAGCCTGGGTGAACAAACATGATATGGGAAGTGTGTTCTCCCCTTTCAGCTGACTTACGGAGCAGTGTCACTCAGACCTGGTGGAGGTGGTACTTGCTGTTTACACTGAGCATCAATAAAATATGTGGTCACTCACCATCTAACACCAATGCTATGGACAGTGCTCTCGATTTAAGTAGCAGTATTGTGCAACCTAAGTCATCCTCCCTGAAAGTGTCACATTGCAAGCAGAATGGTAGCTCCGTGGGAGATGATCCACAGGATTGCTTCCACAGACAGTTCTGGAGTAAACTTGGCTTGTTCTGCAAGCTGTTAACAGCTGGCTGCTTTTTATGTTAGTTAAACCTCATAAATGGGTTTGGACATGCCCAAAGCTTGATAGTACAGAGCTAATTCTTGTAACTTAGATCAAATTAACTATGTATTTGGGATTCTGCACAAAAAAAAATAAGGAGAATCAAGACGGAAAAGCCCACAAACAGGAGTTGGCTGAGCAGACTGTTGGAGGGAAATTTGTGACTGTCTTCTTGTGGCAACCACCAAAGTATGGAGCAGCTGGGTCATTATAATAAGGGCATCTGGTAAGGTCACATGATGAAGCTGGCAAAGCTCATTCAGGTAGACATTCAAAACAGGAGGGACTGCCAACAGGAAGTCACACCCTAGTCCACATGCCTCAATGCATTTTCCCGTTGTTATAAAATGGAATTGGTAGTGGAGACTGTGCTTGACAAGAGAGCCAACCTCTCACCCTCCCACTCTGAAAATTACCTATTATCTATGTGGACATTGGCTCACCTACCCCTGAAAACAATAAGATCTTCCTTTTTCAATCTTTGTGGTTTTATTAGTACTTCAGGGAGCCATTGATGAAAATTGCTTCTTGATTTAATATCAGTGTGAAGAGCGCAGGGCTCAGTTTCAAGTCCAAAGACTCTTCAAAGAGAACCAGAAAGAGAACGTTCAGTGATGAATTTGGCTATTCCTTATCTCAGGGCCAACAACAAAGTCAGTGTCTCAGTCTTGAAATTGGATCACATGAATTGTCAACACAAATAGACTGGGAATTTCACATGTTGGAGTTGTTGTAATCAGATGATCTCGACTGAACATGTCCATAGTGACCACAGTATGACCCATGTGGGTTATCAGTTATCTGCCTGCACTTCCCCAGGGAATCAAGTCTTCCAGGAACAACTGGTTCCACAGGAAACAGCTTCCATGAAAGATCTGTATCTTACAAGAATGCTAAGCTTTCTCAGAAACTGCCCATAATCAACCCATCATCCAAAACGTTACTTTTTTTACCTTGTCTCCTAAATGTCTTACATATTCTTAAAACACTTCACTAGAACTTCCTATCTATTATCTAGAGAACCCATATGATTTCACCCAAGATTAGTGTCTATATAACCAACTCTTTAGTTTGGGAGAGTTAATGCACATCTCATTTGTGTACATCTAATATGCAGGATGTTCAGGATATATGTGCTCTGGAACTATAATGTAAAAGGTAGGAATATGATCAATAGTTGCTAATGTATTCTTCCATGGGGATTCTAATGCAATATATTTAATCAGGGGTCCCTGCCAGAGGGAGCCTGACTTCATTTTTGGTGAGACAAGACAACTCATGTAAAGCACCAATGACCAAATACTAGACTGGCTCTGAGAGTGAGGAAATGGAGCAGACTGGAAAGAACTCACAGAGATCTCTGAGTCTTGGTGATGCCCAGGAGGGTCACGTGTTTGATCAGTGCACACTGCAAATGTCCATCAGAGGCCTATGGGCAGGCACAGGGGTCAGTGTGCCCTGAAATCCCAAATCCAGAGTCTCAGAACCTTCTCATCAATGATGACAAGTGATACAGAATCCACCATTTGTGGACAGCCTCGCCTAGAAAAGTCATCCATCTGTCTCTTTTCAGCCCTGCCTGTCAACCAAAGTCTCTGAACTCCATAAACTGCAGCTAAACATCACAGCTGAGCCCTGTAGGGCTCCTGTATGACTTTAAAATATGTAGCACAAAGTTCTTCCCTGAGTTTGATAGGGAGCAAGGATGTGATAACTACTAACTTCCTTATGTGGAACATTCTAGAAACGTTCAAAGATCCAGACAGGTACTGGCATAGGTCCTTCCATAAATTACAACACATTTAATCCCAAATGCTGAGATTAAAGCATGCACCACCACATCTGGCCATTAAAATCTTTTAAATTGCTAACTTTTAAATAACTAATTTAAAATCTTTTAAATTATAAACAACATTTTAAGGTAATTCTAAATACACTTAAGACCTGTAGAGGTTAATCTTATCAACTTGGTAGGATCTGGAATCAACTAAGAGACACACTTGTATATCAGAAGCTAGATGAAGAACCTGTATGTAGCTATGATGCCAATTGCTAGGGGCTCCTTTGTCTATAAAATGTATTTATGTCCCTCAAATACATAAGCTATCCAAAATGCAAAGTGTAGAACTCTTTACCAAGCTGGTGTCCTGCCAGCTGTTAATGGTACTAACCATTTCCCAGGTTGCTCTGTAGGTGGAGAAAGCCAAGTCACTACAGTGAGCTCAGCTTGTCTCCCTGTCCCAGACATCTATCCCCAATGACCTCAAACCCCAGCCGACCCCCTAGATCTTGGGGACTTTGCAGGAAAAGGCTGTGGCTACCAATATCTCATCACCATTTGTCAGTTTATTACGGTCCAAGTGCTCTCTCTACCCTACATACCTGGATACGATAGCCCATGCCAGAAATGCACACTTGATTCAGTTCCATGAAACCACAGAAAGCAGAACATGTAATTCCCATCCTGTGCTGTTCCCCCCACTCCTAATAAAGAAGATTTGATGCAGGCATGCAAAGCACAGGACTCAAAAGGCATGCACAGCTAAGTCAGGATGTGAAAACCCTTAGCCTAATAAATTAGACAAAAGCTGTGTGGCTAGAGCTCAAATTTGTGAAACCCATGAAATGATATATGAAAATCCTATAGCTCAGGAGAAAAGGAAGAGTGAAGCAGATGGAAAGAATGGAAACCTACACACACACTGAGAGAGAGAGAGAGAGAGAGAGAGAGAGAGAGAGAGAGAGAGAGAGAGAGAGAGAGAGAGAGAGAGAGAGAGAGAAAATCACAGCCCTTTGAGTGGAGGTTTGTTGGTAATAAGACAGTCACACTCCTGGGTGCTCAGGGAAATCTCCTCAACCGTGACCTTCCCTGCTGTTCTATGAGCTCCCAGAGTGCAGTGTCCACTCTCTGAGCAGGAGCCTGACCTCTGGAGGCCTGCAAACAGGCTGCCCATCTTGCTTTATGATCACAGAGCTTCCTGGGGAAATACTTTATTCCCTGAGGACTTTTAGGCTTTCACTGCTTCGGAACACACTGTCCATCCAATATTCCCTGAGTGAGAGATTCGCAGACACCTTGGCTTCGGGAAGTTTCTGGAATCTCTCCTTAATGTAGGACTGGGTCATTAAATCACTGGGAAGAAGTTAGTCTTTAATGACTAGAGCTAGACAAGATTTTTAAAATTATTCCATTTCAAGCAAGCAGACTACACTTACCAGGTAGAGGTGAACACTCCTGCAAGAGGCACCTGTTTCATTATGGGAATTTTGTAGTGAGGGGATGTGCTTCCATCTTTTTGTGAAAATCAGTTCCTACTCCTCTGCTGCCCCTTCCTCTCTCTTCCCTTTCCTCCTCTCCTCTCCCTTTATTTTGTGGTTCTGGAGATCAAGCTCAGGCCTTCACAATACTAGATTCAATGGTTAGTCAACATTATCCACCTTGACTAGGTTTAGAAACAACATAGAAAACACATCTCTGGGTGAGTCTGTAAGAATGTCTCCAGAAAGGCTTAAGTGGGGACGGAAGACACAACATGAAAGTGGATGGCACCATGAACAGTCTGGGGTCTCAGAACAAAGCGGAGAAAGTGAGGGCTGGGAGACGGCGCGCTTGGTAACGTGCCTTCCATGTAGGAGGGCTATGTAAAAGCTGTGTGGTGGGGTGCACTTGTCACCCCAGAGCTGGAGATTGGAGCAGGCAGATGCTGGGGACTGACTTACCAGTCAGTCTAGCCAAGTGATGGGATTTAAGTTCAGTGAGAGACATTGTCAAAAGAGGACAGAGAGCAATAGAAGAAGACATCCGATGTCAGCCTCTGGTTTCCACACATGCACATAGGAACACAGGGACACATGCACAAGCAAAGAGGGAACCAGTGAGACCAGAGTTCATCTTTTTCTGCTTCCTGGTTATAGGAGCAGTGTAATACAAAATGAGCAACTGCTGCCGCCCCCCACACACACAGGAGAGAAAAATAACTGGCAAGCCTGGAAAGCGCTCTGCCACTGAAAGCCACCCAGATCCTAGCAAACACAGTTTTAAATACTTAATGACTTTGCTTTTTTTTTTTTTTTTTTTTTTGGTTTTTCGAGACAGGGTTTCTCTGTGTAGCTTTGTAGGTCAGTCTGGCCTCAAACACACAGAGGTCCACCTGCCTCTGCCTCCCAAGTGCAGGGACTAAAGGCATGTGCCTCCACCACTGAACTGACTTTGCTTAGTATTAACCTTTTCTTCAAAATAAACATATTTTTTCTTATTTAGTTCAGGATGACCTTGAACTCCTGATCTGCTATGCAGAGTACCCCATTTGTTTCTGAGCAGCACTCGCTGAGTTACCATCAAGTCCTCCCTGTGCCTCTGAGAAGAGAACAAAGCCGCCTGTCCAGTCCCCAACTCCATGCACTTGGAGAGCAGCCTGTAGGAGCCCAGCTTCTCTGACTGCTAATGCCCGGAGAGTGGGACGGCCATTATGAGCTCTACTGCACAAAAGGGTTTAGGACGAATGTGATGGGTTCTTGCAGCTCGCAGTCATGGCCTTTGGCATTTTAATTCGTCCAACATTTTACTATGGCAAGAGACAAAACTCTTTTTTTTTTTGTACATTTTGAAGACCACTTTTTCCCAGTGTGGGGAACTGGGCTCTTCCACATCAAGAGAAAACATGTCGATACTGTTGTTTCACACTTGTCCCAGTGCCCGTGTCATCAACTGAGCATCCCCTAATTGCCAAGGCCTCCCCAAACCCAAACCCTCAGAAAGTAAACCATGAAGCAGAGAGGGAAAGTGTGTGCACGTGGCCTTTACTTTTTAAAAGGACATTTGTATCCAATCACAGAAGAAAATGGCGTTGTGTCTGGGCAGACGTTTCCAGATCCCAGTTAAAAGGGACTGGCTCATGGCCACCCACGGAGCCCCCTGAGAATCATGCCTAGGTGTGAAGGTTCCACGAGTGAAGGTCTTCCTTTCCCACGTAGAAACTGTCTTTCCCTGCAGATTTCACCAAGCTGTAAGGACCACATCTCAAGTTAGAAACAAACCCCCAAGATCACAAGTTCTGGTTCAGGGTTCCAGAACGCTTTTCTTGGAGAAAGCCTCTGCTTGGGGAGCTGGGGTGTTCCTTATTCCATTGTAGGCTGGGAGTTCTAGAAGGTCGATCGAAAAAGGGTCAGAGCATTGTCAGAGCCGCTGTGCTTGCTGGTGCATGGATCTGCGCTGCGAGTTTATGGCTTATGCTTTACTCCTTTAGCTCCAAGCTCTGCTGAGGTCCCCCGCTTGCTGGTCAGCCTCTCTCCATATCCCAGGACTCAGAGAGAGTCTGTAGAGCACACATAGCGCAAGGTGTAGTTGGCCCCCTCGTTGTTATCCCAGTATTCTCCCTGTTCGCAGCGGTAACAGACAGCAAAATGGATCGCGACGTCACCCGTGTCAGTACCCTCGCCTTCTTTGGGCTGCAGACCTGGGGGCAGGTACAGCGAGAAGCAGAAGCGCTCCTTGACCAGCTCCTCCTCACAATCCCCAGGCCCTGGTCCAGAGTGCCCCAAGCGCACGGGAGGCAGCTTCTCCAGTGACTCGGGATGCAGCTCGGCCGGCACGTCCAGAAAGGTGCGCCACTCCGTGAAGGTGTAGCGCACCGCCACCGTCCTGGGTCCCTGGCAGCTGATCACCCGACCCGAGCCTGTCACCTCGGCACTGGGCGACTGGGAACATTGCACGCACTCCAGACACACTCGCTGCCGCCTCAGACGCTCCTCCGCAGCGCTTAGCCCCGGGAGCTGGAAGAGGGGTCGGAGCTGGGCGCGTGGCGCCAAGAGGGGCGCGGGCACCTTTGCCACCGCCAGAAGCCCCCCGACCTGCTTCAGGTCCTCGGCGCTCATCGGGAAGCTGCGGAGACGGGAGAGCACTGCAGGTGGCACCTGTGGTTCTTCAGTGTCGCTAAAATGCTTCACGCTGGCCAAGCTCAGCCCCAGCGAGTCTGCGAACTGTACGCGCTTCTTGCACTTGGCGCAGCAGTCCCGGCCCGGCTCACCACCCTCCGCGCCGGGCTGCCTCGCCAGCTGCCGCTGTTGCAGGATCTTGGCGGCCTGCAGGATGGGGTCTGCCGGCAAAGAGAAGGAGCGTGCTCGAGGGCGGCGATATTCCTGCAACTCCTCCTGCTCCGGGAGAGCCGCCTCTTCCTGCTGCGACAGAGGCCTGTCCTGGAGCTGAGCGTCAGGGATCGGGGTCTCCGTGGTGCCACCCTTCACGCAAAGGACCTCGGGGCCAGACAGCCCCTCCGCGTGTGGGAGTTCCCCGGAAGGCGTGGAGCTGGACGTCTCGGAACTTTGCAGCTGCTCCCGGGATGGCTCCATGACACCATTCAGCCCCGGGACTCGTCCGGACCCAAATGCGGTGCTGGAGACTCAGCTGGAAACTTGTCTACTCTGGCGGCAGAACGAGGGCACGGCGCCCGCTGGGCTCGCCCTCCCTGGCTCAGCCTCGCCTGGCTGGAGAGCAGAGAGCAGATTCAGCCTGGAGCCTCCAGCTTTTATCTGAGGCTGCCAGGGAGGAGGATGCTGGCCTGGGGAGGGCCAGGGGCAGGGAGGTGCGTCCTCCACAACACCTGGGAACCAGGTCCTGAATGGCAATTAAGACTTTCTGAAGGTCGTAGGGTAGCTGATAGCCTTGATCTCCCTGCAATACTGCTGCGTCTGTCCCACCTCCGGGGCAGTTCACAACTTTCAGAGCCAGAGCATAGACAAAGTTTTGCAGCCAGTGAAGTTAGTCTTCCGGAGAAGTGTTGTCGCCCCTTGGTGACATCCCGGCTGCCACCAGCCTAGAAAGTTCGCGACGCAAGCATGTCATCGAGGATAGCAAGCTAGCCCAGTGCATCCCTTCTGTTTCATTCTTTCTTCCCTGGGTTGCATTCTTGCAGTTGCCCCTTAGTGCTCCGGAAAGCTTGGAGGCTTGGACTGCAGCTTCCACCTACCTAACCAGTGACCTTGCTGGTGGGCTTGCTACCGGACAGAGAGAGGACCCACTGGGAGCGGACACAGCGGCCAGCCCAGAGCAGCCGGAGGCCATTCACGCCTGGCGCTAGAGCACGTCCGGTTCCCCGGTCCTCCCCTTGTCCCGCCCGCCCGCAGATCTGGATGGCGAAGAAGAGGGCTGGCACCTCCCTCCGAGTCTGGGCGCCTTCCTACAGCCTCAACACAGCCTCCTCTCCTGACGGTACTGTGGGTTTTCTCCCCAAGGATCCCAAATGACTACAGTACAACTTAGTCTTTTTAGGGGTAAGGCCAAAACTCAATCTTTGAAAGATGGATGGGAGAGTGCTCTACTCTATCCTGGCATTGAAAGTGTTTTGTTCTTTTGCCTTGATCAAACTTCAACTGATAACACCATGAACAATCGTCACACCCACCCCTCATCCCCCCCCCATCCCCATATCTGATTCAGGGGGTCCCAGGCGGTACCTGAGAGGACTCCTAACAGGGAGACGCTGAGGCTGGGGTCTGGGGACCACAATTTTAGGAAGGATTAAGCAACTATTTGACGTGGTTATGTGTACAGTTACTTAACATAAAAGGTTGGGCCAGGCCACTGTGGCACATGTCTTTAATCCCAGCACTTGGGAGGCAGAGGCAGGCAGATCTCTGAGTTCAAGGCCAGGCTGTTCTACAGAGCTAGTTCTGGGATAGCCAAAACTGTAAAGACAAACCCTGAGCCGGGTGGTGGTGGCCCACGCCTTTAATCCCAGCACTCGGGAGGCAGAGGTGAGACCAGCCTGGTCTACAAGAGCTAGTTCCAGGACAGGGTCCAAAGCTGCACAGGGAAACCCTGTCTCGAAAAACAAAAAACAAACAAAAACAAAAAACAAACAAAAACAAAAACCCTGTCTCGAAAAACCAAAACAAACAAAAAACAGAAAAGCAACGTTGGAGGTTGTAGAAATATTGATCCACTAATCAAGAAACAAAAGGCAAAGTTATCTTACCCAGGCTTTGTAACTGAAGCTTAATCCCTAAGTATGGTACAGCAGAATTTAATGTTCCCCGGGTGTTGGGCATATTGGGAAGTATTCATAGCTAGTATCTATTGAAGGCTCACAGGCTATCCATCCCTCCCCAGGGCTGAGGGTCCTTCCTGTGTGAGCTTATGTGCACAAACTCTGTGAAGTAGGAACCATAACGCTCCTACTCTGTCTGCAACACATAAAGGCTGGGAAGGGCTGTTCAGGCCTCACAACTGAACAACTGTAGTCAGGTTTGACCACAGGCATCCGAGAAATGTCTTCTACAGCCAAGGAGCCTGAGTTAGGGAGGTGTTTTGAGGAAGGGACACCGGTGGTCTCTTGCCTGGGATCTTCCGATCATTAAGTGCCAGTGTAGAACTCCAAAACTACATCTCAACTCTGCCTGGGCCTCACAGGAAAATCCAGATGCACCCAGAGTGCCCTCCCCACAGGCATCTTCATGGTCCAGGACAGAGGACATTGCTTTTTACATGCCAATAGACACTGATATGTTGTGATACTAAGTACAGTTACAGTATTCACAAACTAGTTTAAAGGTGGAATAGGAACTTCAAAGAGATTTTGAGGTGGGCTCTGCCTTCAGGCAGCTCCCGCCATGAGTGCTTCAACCACAGGATCCCCATGTGCATTTTTCAGACAGATGGCTCCCTCTCCCTGTGAGTCGCAGGCTACCACTAGACCCCTCCTTGGACTGCTGCCACACTAGGTAGCTGCCTTGACGCCAGTTCCAGTTTCTACTGTTGTTGCAACCGCCACAAACTCTCAGTTCACAGCTGCTCGCTAGCAACTGCAACTGTCCTCAGTCAGGCTGTGCACTGCCTGTCTCTCCACTCATACCTACCACACAGAGGTAGCCAGCCTCACATTTCACGCTCTTCGTCAGCAGATTTGGTGAGTCAATCGAAAATTCTTAAGGAGGGGAATTATTTTTTTTGAAGAAGTTTTCCCACATTAAAAAAAAATGGGAAACACTGTTAAGGGGATAATTAACTTAGGATTTACAAACATCAATTATAAATATCAGTTTGGTAATTACTGTTTCATCCCTAAAAAAGTTTATTGATGCCAAACTGGTTGATATGCGTGTCAAGATGCAAGCCTTAGAAAAAGTTACTAAAGAAAATAATGCCATTTTGACTGATAAGCTACAAGCCTTAAGAGATATTCAGACAAAGACAGAGGAATTTAAAGGAGAACCAACCTCAACATTACATTATAAAATTATAGAGGAACAGCCCAAGGTTATCTAACAACCAGCCTTAATTTATCCAGTCACTTTTTTTTTTCCAAGACAGGGTTTCTCTGTATTGTTTTGGAGTCTGTCCTGGAACTCACTCTGTAGACCAGGCTGGCCTCGAACTCACAGAAATCCGCCTGCCTCTGCCTCCCGAGTGCTGGGATTAAAGGCGTGCGCCACCAACGCCCGGCTCCAGTCACCTTATGGGAACAATTGCCAAATGACAGATATCACCAAGGCTATGTAAGAACTGATTGGATCCCTGTGGAAATGTTAGATCTGAGGAGATTTAAGGAAGAGTTATCTTCATATGGTATGCATTCACCTTTTGTGAAGCAGATGTTAAATTCATAGTCAACTAGTAACAGAATTGTCCCACAAGACTGGAAAGAGTTGGTTACAGCAGTATTGGAGCCTGGTCCTCAACTACAGTAGAGTACCTGGTGGAAAGATGAGATTAGGACCATTGAACAATGAATTAGGCTAGAGTTATTGAAATTTCTCAAGACCAACTTATTATAGACAGTGATTATGCTGATGTACAAAGACAGTCTCTATATGATAACCACACCTTGGTTCTATGCCATGCAGCAGCTTTGAATGCTTGGAACAGAATTGAAAAAGTCTGAAAGAGAACTGAGTCATTTACTAAAGTTATACAGGGCCCAAAAGAAACCTTCACTGATTTTTTGCAAAGATTGACTTCAGCTGTAAATAGAATGATACCAAATTCATAAGCTAAACAAATAATAACTGAAACTCTGGCTTTCAAAAATGCTAATTCACAATGCAAATGGGTAATTAGGCCTTTAAAGACAAGATCAGCACCCATAAAGAGGAATGAATCCAAGATACAACCAATATTGAATCTCATAACCATGATGATGCTTGGATAGGAGAGGTAATTTCCAGAGGCTTGAAGAAAAATAAAAATGTCAGGTGTTTTAGTTGTAGCAAACAAGGTCACCTAAAAAAGGATTGTAGACAGGACAGTCCAAAAAACAGTGGTTCTTCTAATCCAAACAGAAGGCTCTTGCCTTCTGGAGTATGCAAAAGGTGTGGCAAAGGCTGACATTGGACAGGTGAATGCAGACCAACAAGGGACAGATAAGGTAACACTTTGCCACCAGGAAACACTTTGGGGGTGGGACTCTTGCAGTGTTCAGCCATTCACTGTTACCATGTAATAAGCTCCTCCCCAGAGCAATTAAAGGACCTAATGCCTATTGTAAAACAACAACAACCAAAAAAAAAAACTATACTGCTCTAGATGATAGATTTAGAAGATAAAACAAGAATTTAGGGAGAAATGTAGTGATACTTTACTTATGACCTAACAAATGAAGATTTCCTGAAGATCAGAGGGCAGAGCTAGCCATACCAGTTAACCATACAGGCCAGGCAGTGGTGACACACACCTTAATCTCAGCACTCAGGCGAAAGAAGCAAATGGATACCTGTAGTTCAAGGCCACACTGGGTTACATGAAATTGATCCAATGTAAAAGAGCCAAGTGGTGGTGGCTCACACCTTTAATCCCAGCAGTAAAGAGATGGAGACAGGAGTGATACAGCTGGGCAGAGAGAGGACTATAAGGCAGAGCAGTCAGTCCTAGGGACAGGATCACCCCTTTGGTCTGAGGATTCAATAGAGGTAATAGGTTTTTCTTATGACTGATTCCTTTCTTCTCTGACCTTTCAGCATTTATCTGATATGTGAATCCAGGCTTTTATTAAGACCCATTAGAACTCCTGCTATAGAGAAATCATAAAGCAAATATTTTGACAAACTTCTGCAAATGATCAAAAGCCAAAGTTAAAAATATGAATAAAGTTCAGCTTTTAGGGACTAGAACTTTACTTCAGTTAAAACAAAGAATGAGATGCCAGAAAGACAGAGGGAAAAATTAAAGCCAAATATAGCTAATATAACAATGAATTTATGGGGATGTGATTTGTTACAGCAATAGAGAAACAAGATTAACTTTCCTCCAATGTCAGAAACAAACCATAAATTAATTTAGTGTCTGGGAAAAATACTAAAAGGTATTATAAGTGATAGTCACTAACAATTCAGGTTGTACAAGAACAGGGCACAACAACTGCTGGTCTTTCAAAGGGACCAACAGTCCTGTCTTTAAAATGGTCAACTGACAAACCTGTCTGGGTGGAACAATGGCCTTTGACATCAGAAAAATTACAGGTTTTAGAACAGCTGGTACAGGAGAAGCTAAATGCTCAACATGTTGAAGAATCGACAAGTCCTTGGATTTCTCCTGTATTTGTTATTAAAACGAAATCTAGAAAATGGAAAACGTTAACAGATTTGAGAGCCATAATTAAAGTAATTCAGCCAAATGAGGCCTCTACAGCCTAGAATTCTTCTGTCTTCTCTATTACCTAAAGGATGGTCTATTATAGTTATTGAGTTAAAAGACTGCTTATGCTCTATATCTTTATAAGAAAATGATAGAGAAAAGTTTGCCTTCACAGTGCCTACTTAAAATAATTCTCAGCCTGTTAAAAGATATTAGTGGAAGATTCTCCTACAAGGAATATTAAACAGTCCCATCCTATGCCAATATTCTGTACAACAACCATTGGAAATGATTCGTGTACAGGTCCTCAATCTATAATTTACCATCATATGGATACTATTTTATTAACTGAGTCAAATGTAGACACTTTAGAGAAAATGTTTCAAGAAGGAAAGAAAAATTTGCCTTGTTGAAGATTAAAAATTGCTCCTAAAAATACAAAGAGGAGATTCTATTAATCACCTAGGATATAAAATCAGTTTACCAAAAATT